TACATATACACACACATATATACATATATACACACATTATGATAATATATAATTTTTACATGTATGTGTATATATACATATATATACACACATATATACATATATATACATATATACACACACACACACATATATATATATATATATATCTGTGTTGTTGTTTAGTTGTTTCAGTCACATCTGACTCTTCATGACCCCATTTGGGATTTTCTTGGCAGAGACACTGGAGTGGTTTGCCATTTCCTTCTCCAGCTCATTTTATAGATGAGTAACTGAGGCAGACAGGGTTAAGTGACTTACTTGGGGTCACACTAAGTAACTGTCTAAGGCCAGATTTGAACTCAGATCTTCCTGACTCCACGTCCAGTGCTCTATCCATTACACCACCTAGCTGTATATATATATGTGTGTGTGTGTGTGTGTGTGCGTGTGTACATACATATATATGTGTGTGTGTACACATATATATATAGACATATATTCATTCATTCATTTATTTATTTATATACTTATTTATTTCAGCCATACATTATTTCAAATATGTTGCTGTTGTCATTGTTACTATTTTACCAAGGCTCTTCTCATCCCATTTCAGACAAACCAGACCAAATCCAATCTATCAATACTAAAATTTTCATTTTACACATTTGGAAACTACGTTTGCACAGTGAAAGAACACTGGCTTTGGGGTCAGAAGACCTAGCTGGGAATCCCAGCTCGGCCACATATTATCCATGTGACCCTTCAGCAGGTCACTTAGCTTCACTGGCTCTCACTTTTCTCATCTGCAGTTGTACTAAGGTCTCTCAGGTCCCTTCCATCTCTAAATCTCTGATGATCCCACATACATATTGCAATTCAGTCTTTATTTCTGGAGACAGGTAACACAAATGTTGCTCATGCATCTTTGCTGTCAATGGGACCCTACGTTTAAATGCACCTCAACAGTGCTGAATTGAATATTGCCTCATCACAATTGACAGTTACCTCAAAATCATTATCTTAGTGTTTTAGCCAACTACAAATTATTCCTTCTACCATCAAAAATAAACCCAGAAATCATTCTCTTTAGATCATAGCGTTCTCTCATGGAGTCCACTAGTGTTCTCCATGGCAGCCAGATTTGGGAATGATAACACCATAATCGATGGGTACATAAGAAACAAGAAATATTACAGGTTGGTTTGGATACCTAAGGCATCTGGCTGTTTGTCATGGACTTTCAAGAAAGAAAAAAGACTGATGGTATAACACAACCACTGATGATTTTTATTGTTCAGTTGTTGTCAGTTATGCCTGATTTTTCATGACCCCATTTGGGGTTTTCTTGGCAGAGATGCCAGAGTGGTTTGCCATTTCCTTCTCCAGCTCATTTTACAGATGAGGAAATTGAGGCAAACAGGGTTAAATGACTTGCCCAGGGTCACACAGCTAGTAAGAGACTAAGGCCATACTTGAACTCAAGTCTTCTTGATTCCAGGCCCTGGGGCTCTATCTACTGCTCCACCTAGCTGGCCAGGTGATATCTATAGGTAATTCAAGATCATAGGATGCCAAATGTCAAGTCCCCAACCAGTGGACTGTATGAGAAGATTTTGAGGTGTTACCTCAAAGACCTTTACATTGCTAATTGCCTTTCTGAAGTTTTCCAGAACGTCCGGGAAAGGGGAATGATGTGAACAGCCATTTCCTTTCCCCAGTTATGTTCAGAGTCTTAACTGTCAATGAAACTCTAACTAAAGTAGGGTATCTTGGGCTTTACCTCAGAGTGCTGATGTGGGAGGGAGACATAGTTCTTCCAAACAGACAACTGTTCCAACACTCTCCATGTTCTTCTGCTGCCTGCACAATACAACTCTGATCCCTTGTTGCCCCCTCGGACCCTTTCCTAGTGTGACTGTACCTGTGATCACACGGCTGTGCCACTGCCATACCACTCAACCAACAGTCTGTCTGTTCTAACAGTTTAACTGTGCTGTTCCCTCCCCCCAACTCTTTTTGCTCTAGAGGAAAGAATTCCTAGTTATATCCTCTGTTAATACACACTTTCTTACCCTCAGACTTTCATCATTAGCAAAAGACTCCTGCAAAATAGTTTTTCTCTCCAAAAAGTCATGTTCCAAACTGTTATATGCATGCATGCTACGAACTCTAGACTAGTATTTTCAAAGCTGTCTGCATTTCCTTTCTGGTCTTTTGTTCTCTGGGAAGTTGGTAATAACATCCACAATACAAGATGATGAGCACTGATGTGTGAATGGGACCGTTGTGAAGTAAAATAAGCAACATTAGCTGAACCAGTCAAAAGAAGGGAAAAGTCAGTTCCACATGCCACTCAGAATGCTCAGTCAGTTAACCACCTGGGCTGAGAAGCCCAGAGCCCTCTGAAAGAAGCACAATTTATGATGGACAAGTTAGCTAAGTTGGTTGACAGAGAGGCAGCATGGTACAATGGAAAAATTCTGGTGTCAATCAAAGGCCAAATCCCACCTTTGGCACCTACTACCTATGTGGCCTTGGGCAAATCCCCTATCGTCCCTGAGCTTTGGTTTCCTCATCTGTAAAATGAGGGATTTGGATTAGACGGTCTCTGAAGTCCCGCCAGCCTAGAATCTATGATTCTGTGTGTGCCTGTGATAGGACTGAGAGAATTTCAAGAGGCCATCTGGTCCACCCCCTGTTAGCAGTACTTAGAAGGCTAAAGCTGAATGCAACAGCTTCGATCCACTGGACTCTTCCTAAAGAAATGTTGACAGAGAAAAATACCTGTTGGAAAGAGAAATGCCCACAAGCATGTAGAAGTGCAAGCCCAGTGTTTTAAGAAAACAAGTTGTCCAGCTATAGTTGCCTGTGTGGAACACCCTCCTGGGTTGCCACAGCCTGCCTTGGTCTTTTGATGTGTATGGCCAATATGTTCAAGGCAGGCTTTGCTCTGTTCCCAAGCTCCAGGGGACAAGAGGCTTGTCTAGATCTTTCCAAAGGGACTATGATCACAATCAATCCTGGTCATTAAGGAAAATCACCTTGCTATCAGAGACTGCCTGAGCCTCTTATCTTGCCAGGTCATTTCTCCAGTAAACTGTTTGTCAGATTGAAACAGATGCTGGATCTGTTGCGAATATAAAGACTTTCTCTTTGCCAGACAGTGTTCTGGGCTTGGGTAGGTCCTCTGGGAGATATATTTGTGTTTGTCTGTGCTCACAGTCAGGGGTGGGACAATTTACCTGCTGTCTCTGCTCCACACCAGCCTATTTATCTTGGAAATGGCTTTGGGAGGATGGTGTTTGCATTAGAGAACTGAATACAAAATGGGAATTTCCAATATGTAGCTTGTGTTCTACAGAATCCAAGCTACTCTTGGCTATTCCTGGCCACTCTTTGCATATTGCTCCTTTGCAAACTGCTAGAAAAATCTTATATATATAATGTTGGTTTGTTTTTGACTGAACCACTTCATTGGTAACATATATGGTGGAAAATGTCTCTAGTTTGATTGTATCTTTGCCCAAATGATCATTCAAGCCACTGGCAAACTTTTTTCTTCAGGCCAACTCTTCCATCCTTGTTTTACAACATATAGAGAGGAAACTGTTCTCTGATTCTCTCTTTTGCCAGAAAGGCTTGAAACACCCATCCTTGAATGTTCTATGTGCCCAGCATGGAGTGCACCAGGGACAGGACTATCACTTCACTGCAATAAAGGAAGTGCATCATTGGGTAGGAAATCAAGGTCGAGTTGTTCTGAATCACCATAGCTCGGGTCACTTTGCTCTTCCCCATATGACTAGACAGATGCCCCAGCCTCCAGACAAAGAAATCACACTGTTTCTTTTTTAACAATTTATTCTGATTAAGCTTTGAAAATATCATTGCAGCTGCATAAAGCTATTCACAAAGGGAATTCCAAGCACTTATAGACAGTCACAAGGCTTTGTGAAGATGCCACATACAGAAAGATGTTTAAGTGTTTTGGGATGAAATACTCAGAAGAATAAGAAAGGAAATAGAAGGATTAAATGGACTTCTCCAAGGTCACACAGATAGATTGCTTGTGCTCGCAGTAAATGTCTGCGGAAAATTTCCACTGTTATTTTTCTTAACTTTAACCACTGAACCTCGCTCCTTTCAACATTATCATCCTAGCAGGAGAAGCAAGGGAGGACATTTGTCCGTCTTTTGTAACATTTATAAGTTTGTCTTCCTTTAGAAACTAAAATTTCCCTTGTTTTTCTGATTTAGAAATTTTCATTTGTGTGTAGGGGAAAGGAGAAGGAGAGAAAAAATGGTTATCAAAATCAGTCTAATTTACAATAAACAATGTTGACTTGCATGAGGTTTGTTTCTGCCTTTTCCAATCAGACACAGAATCTCCTGATTGGAAGGAACCTTGAAAAAACATTTATATATTCCACCTCCCCTGCCCTCAGACAAGACCACGCTTAGCCACATCCTAGGCAAATGAAAATTATGCCATTTTCACATGTCCTCAGAGAGATTCCCTAAGCATCCTTGGCCACTGGCTCCAATAGTAACTCAGGAACGTCTTTTTTATTAGAGCTCTAACCTAAGTCTCTCTTGCTGTCTATTTCTTCTCATCTTGAAGATGTATCTCACACATACAAGCGCACACACACACACACACACACACACACACACACACACACACACACCAGCTGATCCCCATTCCCTCTATTTAAATACCCATGACATAGAGGCAATGACTCTTTCTTCCCTCTGAACTTGACTATCTCAAAGCTGGGGAGGGTTTCAAAGTATCCTCACCCAGCCCTAAGTCCTCCTCTCCCGCCCCGGCTGAGCCCCCTTGAATTTCCAAAACATCCACAACTTCAGGGTTTCCCTAAGCTTGACAATTCTGGTCTTCTGGAATCGGGGAGGCGGGGGGGGGGGGGGGGGAAAGAAGAACCAAATCACAGCACTGCACCAAAGAGCCCTTCATTCCAATCTACCTTAAGGAAAAAAAAAAACCCAAAACTCCTTACCTCCTGTCCAAAGTATTTCATTTCTCCCTGGGGACCTTTCAAAAAGTAACTGGTATTTCCGTGGATCTCTCCATTCCGGGGTGTGGCTTGCAAGTAGGCGTCTTTGGGGGTTTCTTTGGCCCCAATTCTGGAATCTGCCGCCCCACCCCTTCTTATAATTCACAGTGTATTAGCATCCAGGCTTTTTCAAAGGCACCAACTGCAGCATCTCTATGAGAAGGTCTTAGTTGTGCCAGGGGCATCCTCCTCCTCCCTTGGGAAAACCTCCACTCTCCCCCCACAGCGTGGGATTGCTATGATCTTCCGGGCAGCTGCCGTGTTTTCCAGGCTACTCTACTAGCCAGCCAGCAGCCCCTGCCCCTTCTCCCTCCGAATCTCTTCTGTCTGCTGCTCTCCGACACACACACACACACACACACACACACACACTCTCTCTCTCTCTCTCTCTCTCTCTCTCTCTCTCTCTCTCTCTCTCTCTCTCTCTCTCTCTCTCTCTCTCTCTCTCTCAACCCGGGAATTTGGGAGCCCTTTTCCGACAGTTGTTCAAAAGGCATGAATGCACTGCAGCAGAGCCCCGAGAACCCAAACAAGCACGAGACCAGGGAAGGGGGTGGAGGGTGGGGGAGAACGAAGCTGCCCTTAGACGTTTCTTTGGGGAAAAAAACAGGCTGTCCTGCTCAGCTTGGGCCAGGGCGAGAAGCATCCGTGTCCCTCCCAGGCAGGAGAGCGAGCAGCCTGCATCCTTAGTTTGAACGACAGCACCTGCTTTTAACCTGCATGCCCCACTGAACTCAAGTTGCCTCTTTCAGGGTTCTGGAGGGCATCACCTTGACCAACTAGTTGCCTTCTACTTCAGATTGGGAAAAGGGGGAAAAAAACAAACCCATGCACAATATGCAGTTCAAATCTCTTCTATTCCCCCAGCCCCCGATTCCATTTGCAGATCACTTTTGTCTGGTCTCTTTGCCCTTAGGATGGAGTTGCTAGAACTTCACCTAGTTCTCAAGCATTTCCAATGAGGGATCCCACGTCTGGAGTTAATCCGTCCCTAGGGAATTGTGTTTTAATTTCTCCACTAAGCTCTTCTTTGGCAGCCTCTCTGGTTTCTGTTGGAGTCTCTAGCATTTTGATTCTTCTCTCTCCCTTCCCACATCTATTGATCAGAAATCAAATCTGGCCCCTTCACTCCCTCCCTCAGCCTCCCTCCTCATTTGATGCAACAAGCACACGCTGGCGAGAAGTTGTCAGACTGTTCCCCACCTCCTCCTGACTCCTCCAGCCCCCTTCCGGCCCAGCTCCTTGTCTGGGCTTACCTTGAAAGCAGCTGCGTCCTCTTGCAGAGGCTGAGCCGGTTTGTTGGAAGGGGTTTAAGAGAAACGTGTGGAGTTGGTATGTGAAAGGAAAATCAGGGAGGTTTCACCGTGACGTCAGCACAGCAAGAGAGAAGATTAGAAGAGACAAGGGCAGCGATAAAGGCAGGAGAGAAATAAACAGTGTGATCAGAGGGGAGAATGGGGGTGAGCTTGGAGGCGAGAAGGAAAAAAATAACACGTGTCAGGAAGATGTGCGGTAATGGAAAAACATGTTTGCCAAAAAAGAGGGGATTGGGGTGGGAAAAGGAGAGGAGACAACTCTTTTGTCTCTATCACAACTGTTCCTTAAGATTTGAAGAGGATTCTTTATCCTCATCCCCACTCTCAGTCTTCGTGACCTTTGGAATGGACGATTGAGGAGAGGATAGTTGGGACTCTACCAAATTGTTGCCGGGGTGCTGTAATCTACCCAAACTGTTTGGTGACCCTTTTCTTTCTCTTCCCCTCTTTCCCCCAGCCCAGAGGGGAAAGCACCCCTTCCCTCCTGCTTTAGCAATCCAGCTCCTGGGAAGTCGAATATTAAGTAGGAGTCGTTGTCAAATTGGAGGGCAGTTCCCCTCAAAGGAACAGAACGAATAGTTTTCTTCCCTGTCATTGGAAGTAAGAAGCTTGCTTCAGGGAAAATATTTCATCAGTTTTTATGGTTCTCCAGGAAAGATCTCTGGGATTTGATAGTCTCACTTTATTCCCAGAAGAATAGTCTAGTGTTTTCCTCCATCATAGTGATGAGTGGGGAAAGAGTTCCACCTAAACTGTTCCCTGGTTGTATTCTTTCCACAAGCTAATGCTTTTAAAAGAACTAAAAGCCAAAGGAAATTGAATATGATTTACGGGGCCTTTCAATTCCACCTACCTAATGAAATGAGGATCTCACTGCTTTGGAATAGTCATCTAGAGAAACCTCTTCCCCCAAACATTACTCCATTTCAAATCCCAAGGACTTTGAAGAAGTAGGAATGAGTGAATGAGCCTTTTGCTGGACCTCTCCCATTCAGGGTGTGGGAGAATGTTTAGGGTGGGGCTGACTCTGTCCAGGACTCTGCTGCTGCTTTGAAGTTCTTGAGATAGACTTTATAGAAAATACAGTCCCCTTTCTGGAAGGTGCTCAGAGAGGTTTGGTAGATTCAGATTGAGTTGCAAGATTAGGGACTAAAACAAACCAGTACAGGATCCTGATCCTGGTCTCTGCTTCTACCCGGGGGCAGCTAATGGACAAATGCTGGAAGAGATGATGGCTCTTTATTTTTATACCAAAATCCGTGAAAGACTCAGTGTCTGGCTTGCAGGAAGGACAGGTGATTAGTTGCCAGCTGAGTGGCAGATAACAAAAAGGAAAGATTGCTGTAGCCTGGAGTGGTCTAGGAAAGAGGGACTTGAGAATGCGTCTGGTTTGTCATAGTGGGGAAGAGTGGGTACGGAGAAAAAGTAAGGGGGGAGGAGTGACTGAAAACTGGCCAAGACTGGGTGAGGACACCTGTTGTACTGGCTAGAGCAGTCACAAAGGAAATCAATGGGAGATATGACTGGAAACAGATAATTCCTAGGAAGAACATCAAAAGCTTCTAGCCCATCTCTTGAACCATTTTTTTATTTAAAGAAATAGTTAATGCCCGGCAGCAAATGTAATTGTGTTACCAAAAAGGAAGAAATCTAGAACACATATGAGCTTAAAACATTTGAAAATTATAAGTTATAAATCACAAGTTATCTAAGATAGTAATGGAAACAAAGTCCTCGGAGGCCATGATTGGAAACAAAGTTACCTGGGGTGGTCTGACCTGGAAACAATCACTTCAAGTTGCTCTAAGTCTGTAGCTTCAACTGAGCAGCATCAGTGAGATTTACTGAAACTTTCAATAGGAAAGTGAAATCTAAGGGTCATAGCTCTAGGTCGTTCACATAGTGAGACTGGCAAAAGTAGGATCCAGGGAGTTTCACCCTTTTGGGTGGCAGCAAAAAAAAAAAAAAACACTAAAGGCCTTGAATGCTAAGGTAAGGAGATTTAACTTTATGGGGGGAGACAGACATTGAAAAGTTTTAACCACGAATGACATATCAAAGGGGTGAATCCAGAAGATTACTTTATGCAGTGTATGATTTAGGGGGAAGGGTGGAGACTGCAGGCAGAGGCAATGGTTAAACATTTATTTCAGTGATGCCTGAGTTTGAACTTGGGCAATGGCAGCAGGATGGGGGGGAAAAGGAGAGAAGGGAGACATTTTGGGTTGGTTTTTTTGTTTGTTTGTTTTGCTTTTGTTTTTTTTTAATATATTTTTTATTTATTTTGTCAAATATTTCCCAATTCCATATAAAGAAATCTTTAGCATTTTTAGAAATTTTGAGTTCCAAATTCTCTCACTCCCACCTACCCTTCCCCCCCTCTTTGAGAAGGCAAGCAATTTGATATTGATTATACATGTGAAGTGATGCAAAACACATTTCCAAATTATTCATGTTGCAAAGGAAAACACAAAAATAAAACCAAAAAAAGTATGCTTCAGTCTGCATTCAGACTTCATCAGTTCTCTCTCTGGAGGGGGATAGCATTTTTCATGCTGGGCCCTTTAGAATTGTCTTGGATCACTGTCTCGATCAGAGTAGCTAAGTCTTTCACAGTTGATCCTCCTTACTCTGCACAATGTTCTCTTGGCTCTGCTCACTTCACTTTGCATGAGTTCGTATAAGTCTTCAACGGGAGACATCTTGAAGGAAGTATCAACAAAGCTAGGTGACTAATTGGATAAGCGTTAACAAAGGAGGAGGAAGAATAAGAAATAACTAAAAGACTTCAGAGAACCGCAGAATTGTAAAAGGAATCTCAATGGCAGTTCAGTCCAACTCATAACCAAAAGGGACTCCTAATATATTTCACAAGTTGTCATTTAGCCTCTGTTTTCCCATGAAGAGGATCTTGCCACCTTCTTAGGCAGTCTATTATACTTTTGTACAACTAATTCTTAGGAAGTTTTTCCTGATGCCAAAATAAATATTTTTTGAAACTAAATTCCTACCACTGCTCCAAGTTCTTCCTTCTGGAGCCAGATAGAACAGATATGTTGTTTTTTTCCCCTTCTGCCCCTTCCCACTACCCCTCTCTCCCCCCCCCACCACCCCCCTCCAAAAAATTTCCTTTTCTCCAGGTTAAACATTCCCAGTTCCTTCAACTTTAGTTTTTATTATATAACACGAATTGAGGCTCCTTTCCCATCCTGGTTGCTTTTTTCTGGACACTCTTCAGCTTATCAATATCCTTCTAAAGCATCAAAAATTGAACATGGTACTTCAGATGTGGTGTGATCAGGGCAGAGTCCCAAGATACTTCCACTTCCTCATTCCTTGATTCCTCACTCCCTTCATGTGAGATCACATAAGCTGCTGGCTCATAGTGGGCTTTGACAAAACTATTGTCTAACTATGCTTCTACCACCTTATACTAGTAAAGCTGATTCTTTGAACCCAAGGATAAGACTTTACATTTATCCCTACTGAATGGCAATCTTTTTAGTTTGAGCCCAATCCTTTAGCTTGTCAAAGTCTTTTTGGATTCTGATTCTGTCATACAATACATTAACTGTTTCTCCCAGCTTTATGTCATCTGCATATTCAGTGAGCATGTTATCTACTCCTTTATTCAAGTAATTGATAAAAATGTGAAATAGTTCAGATTCTTTGGGTACTTTCCTGGAGAGTTCTAAATTGACAGTGAACCATTCACAACTACTTTTTAAGTATAGCCATTCAACTAGCTCCAAATCAATCTTTTCTACATTTCTCTATCATTTCAACAAGAATAATGATACTTTATCAAATACTTTGCTAAAATTTAAGTAAATATATCTACTATCAGTCAACCAATAATAACAATAGCTATTAAACTAGCATTTATTAAGTCTCTACTATATGCCAGGTACTACACTAAGCCACTGGGGATACAAAGAAAGGTGCAAAACAATCCTTGCTCCCA